AAGTGCTCCCTCCCATCTGCTCTCTGTTGTGTCTGTCACACTGTTATTTCAGTATGTCTTGCCCTTACTTTCCTCTAATTCATATTCTTTTCTCCCTGTGTCTCCCTCCCTTGCCTTGTGGCAGTGTTGTTTCTCCCCTGGATCTGTGCTGTAGCCCCTTGCCCTAGTTGCTACCTCATGTTATAGGGGTTTAGCTTAGTTTTGGATGGTGACTGTCGCTTTAAAGGGACTGTTGTTACTTGAGGTACGATATCCTCAGCTTCCACTTAGATGTGCCATTTACTGAAATCTATGCTTGGTTATATTGTATCAAGTTCCCAGTGTGTAAAAATGTATCTCTAGAAAAAAACTTTTTTAGACTGGGGGAGGGGTACACCATCTATCAAGTTTTTATTGCATTGGTGAAATTCACCCCTCTTTTTGTATTGGTGACCAGAAAGAAATTGAGGAGGGATAGCCATCATTTTAGAGTTGGTTTTTAACCTGACATGGTAAGGGCAACTGTTTGAGATGGGAATTCCCGTCGCTTGGAGATTTTCTCTCATTTCCTGTTTTGCCTCTTAGAGAAGTGAAATGAAATTTCCCAATGGTACACAGTGAAAAAAAATACAAATAAAATAAATAAATAATAATAAAAAAAATTAACAAAGGGGTTTTAAAGTGGAAGTAAACTGCTTTGTAAATGTTTAGTTTGTGCCCAAATATGCACAGCATACTTGCAGATTAGGACACACACCTTACAAGTGTGCCCTTCTTCAGCACTGCCAAATCGATTTTCAGTCTTCAGCTCTGTCTCCCACCACCACCTTCTATACCACCGACAGTAACTGGTTTCCGGAAGTCCTCTTCGGCCATTGGGTGGCACCTAATGATGCAACTCCAGTGCATGTGCACAGTAGCTACGTCCTCCAGGGCACCTGTTCCATTCATGGCATCCTAGAGATGTGGGCAAAGGGCTGAGTGTGTGCTCTGCATTGCACATGTGATGTACAGGATACACAGAAAGTAAAAAAACTGCATAAATTGTATGCGCTATATAAATATCTAAAATATATAAATAAATAAATATTACTGTGTCTGCAGATGTAAAAATTGTTGAGTGCTGTGATTGCCCCCATATTTCTGAATTTAACAGCACACTGGATTATCACTTCATTCCTATTCATTCTAATATTATTTATGGAGTTTGCAGACCACATCCCCATTAACGCTTTCATTGCTGTCAGTTAAATGTATAAATTTACTCACTGGATTTACGTCTCTATAGAAATGTTTGTAATTGTTGGTGTTTAATGACCTAAGTATGGCTCTAGTATTTTTGTTGTGTATCAAAGTAATGCCATTTATCCTGGGGATGCCACCATATGTAATGACGAATTTCATGTACCATGTTGTATAGTGAGTGAATGTTATGTGTGATATAATATGCAACAGGGACAACAGTATATATTATAGCGAATGGCTGCCGATAATGATGGGTGCTGTGCTCCATGACTGACAGGATTTGGCAGAGAGAAGTAATGGTAGGTGCTGTGCTCCATGGCTGACAGGACCAGGAAGTGAGAATTGACAGTGGGTATTGTGCTCCATGGCTGACAGGACCTGGAAGGGAGAATTGACAGTGGGTATTGTGCTCCATGACTGACAGGACCAGTAAGAGAGAATTGACAGTGGGTATTGTGCTCCATGGCTGGCAGGACCAGGAATGGAGAATTGGTGGTGGGTATTGTGCTCCATGGCTGACAGTACCAGGAAGGGAGAGTTGATGGTCGGTATTGTGTACCATGGCTAACTGGACCACGAAGGGAGAATTTATGGTGGGTATTGTGTACCATGGCTGACTGGACCAGGAAGGGAGAGTTGATGGTCGGTATTGTGTACCATGGCTAACTGGACCACGAAGGGAGAATTTATGGTGGGTATTGTGTACCATGGCCGACTGGACCAGGAAGAGAAAATTGATGGTGGGTATTGTGCTCCATAGCTGACAGGACCAGGAAGGGAGAATTGACAGTGGGTATTATGCTCCATGGCTGACAGGACCAGGAAGGGAGAGTTGATGGTCGGTATTGTGTACCATGGCTGACTGGACCACGAAGGGAGAATTGATGGTGGGTATTGTGTACCATGGCTGACTGGACCAGGAAGGGAGAATTGATGTTGGGTATTGTGCTCCATAGCTGACAGGACCAGGAAGGGACAATTGACAGTGGGTATTGTGCTCCATGGCTGACTGGACCAGGAAGTGAGAGTTGATGGTGGGTATTGTGCTCCATGGCTGACAGGACTAGTAAGAGAGAATTGACAGTGGGTATTGTGCTCCATGGGTGACAGGACCAGGAATGGAGAATTGATGGTGGGTATTGTGCTCCATGGCTGACAGGACCAGGAAGGGAGAGTTGATGGTGGCTATTGTGCTCCATGGTGACAGGACCAGGAAGGGAGAGTTGATGGTCGGTATTGTGTACCATGGCTGACTGGTACACAAAATTCATTTCAGTACAGCGCTGCATGGTATAAAATTCATTTCAGTACAGCGCTGCATGACGGAATAAATGTCAGTCAAAGTACCGCTGCGCTGAATACTGAAAAATGGCCTGGATGGGAAGGGGGTTTAACACCGCGGATGTCAACTGGTTAAACATGCCCCCCCAAAAAATGTTTTGTGGGGGAATCTTTTATGTGCAATAGTACACATCAAGGATACAGGCAGGGGAACAAAACCTGACACTATTTCTTTATAGGTGACACAATAGGAAATGAAGGTTGGGGACACAGATGTTATGTGTTATATTTTAATACTCACACACAAAACAGATAAAAGTTATGTCTGATGTTCTACTTAAGGGCTTGTTTCCACCAGCCCGCACATCTACCGCAATGTCCCGTGCCCGGAACGCGAGGGATCGCCCATATAAAGTCTCCCTGCGCTCTGGTGCGGGACGGGGGCGTGTCAGTGCCATTCGAGTCAATGGCACTGCAAACCCGCCCACAGTACGATCAACTGCGCGGTAAAAAAAAAAGCCCTGCATTCCAATGCGGTGGGATCGCAAAAAAACGTGCATGCACTATTTGTTGCGATCCCACCGCACTGGAACGCAGGGCGTTTTATTACCGCACGTTCCTGTGCGGCCGATCATACTGTGGGCGACTTGAATGGCACTGCCACGCCCTCTCCTACCCCAGAACGCAAGGAAACAATATATATGCGATCCCTTGTGTTCCAGGAATGGGGCATTGCGGTAGACGTGTGGCTGGTGGAAACAGTTAATAAATAAAGTTAGTAAAATAAAAAAATTGCGGGGTGGGGGGGTTAAGGGATGTATTTTTTGCCGCAGAGACATGCAAAGTCTCTAGGGTTGCCACCCATCCGGGATTCACCTGGACAGTCTAGTGTTCTACCAACATTTGTTACTACGTTAGAATGTGTGACCGGTCACGTTGTCACACACTTTAACATAATCCCGCCCAGTTTTTTGGCGGTGGAATGTGTGACCACCCATTAGGTCAAGCATTACAACGCTTTGTGAGCTCTTCCAGGGCAGATCGGCATCAGAGATGGTATGTGCAGGAGAACAGATCTGCCCTGGGACAGCTCACTTTTATCCAACTTTGTAGAATGTGAGACCTATTGCAGGTTACAGATTTCATCGCCAAAAAAACCTGGGTGGGATTACGTTAAAATGTGTGACCCTAAAAAAAAAAGATTTGTGACCATGTGACCGGTCACACATTCCAACCTAGTCACAAACTTTGATAGAACACCGGGTTTTGAAATCCTGTGCTCGGGTGTGTCCCTGAATCACACCCGGGCACATTATTAACAGCAGACTTGTGGCTCCCTGCTGGCGCCACCACTGTCACTTGTCGAGTCCTCCCTCTGGTTTCTCCCCTAGGTGGGAGGAAGTGACATCAGGGAGGTCCTCCGAAATCATCCTCTGTCTCCACCATGCGCTGTCATCTGGGACCAAATAGCCGGCACCGCCCCAGTCTCCACTACTACCAGGTTACCGTATATATATATATATACATCTATATAGGGGGGCTAGTATAGACCATAAAACGTGCCCCCATAAAAAATTCCACAAGTAACCTGTGACATCTTTTGTGGGAGCATCTTTTATGTGCAATAGTACATATCTGAACTGCAAAACAGATGTCACCGGTACCAAGATCCCATGTTACTGCAAATCGATTTTATTGATAGTTGTCATTCAAACGACAAGCGATTTCTGGGCTGGGCAGGTCCCCTTCATCAGGCTCAGAAATAGCATTACATAAAAGTGCCACAACTTTGATATGGACATAATAGAATGTCATTTCTGAGCCTGATGAAGGGGACCCTGCCCAGCCCAGAAAGCGCTTGTCGTTTGAATGACAACTACCAATCAAATGGATTTTGCAGTAACATGGGATCTTGGTGCCGGTGTGCTGGAGACATCTGTATTGTTGTTCTGTTGTGAGCAGTGCCATCCGCAGTCATTATCGGCACCCGTTACTTTTGGTACATCTGGTAAGAAGTGCCGCAAGGTATGTGGGTACTACTTTGTACACTTGCATCTTATCTACAGAATGCATATCTGGGGACCTGTGGCAGTGTGGCACACTGGCAAGTTGTGATTAACTCCAATGTAATTTATTTACAAAATACATGCATAGTGTATACTTTGCAAAAAAATTGCCGCGAAGCGCTATAGTGTTCGAGTTTGGCTTGAAGAAAAGGTGGCAACCCTACTTAGGCACTGGAGCTACAAAACACTCAGGTGTGAAACCAATGGGATTGCTCTTGATGTAGAGCTTGGCATCGGTGTGTGAATGCAGTCACATGACTGGCTTCCATCCATCGTCCCCAATAAAACCGATCAATTGATCCGGAGTGAGCAGAGGACAGGCCAAGAGTGAAGAAATCAGCTCGTGCACGTCTAAAGGGAAGCCGGGGACGTCTTGTATGAGAGCACTGAGCAATGAAGCAGCCCTGCTCTACCCCTCCTCCTCCACCACCACCTCCTCCTCCACCACCACCTCCTCCTCCTCTGGTGATCTCACCAGCTCAGCCTGCGGCTCCGATGAGCAGGGAAAAGAGGGGACAGAGAGTTAGTAAAGCCCGACAGCAGCGGCTGGAGTGAGAGGGGCAAACACGGCCAGTCCTGGGTGGTGGATACCCAGCGGGCACTTGTGCACGGAGCTCCGCACAGCCCCGTCCTTTGTGTCCTTGTGGAAATTCAGCCTGCGGCCGCCTCTCATTCTCCTCTCCTGCCTCTATAGCCATGGCCAGCAGCAGCAGCAGCAGCAGTAGTCCTAGCAGCAGCGCCCTAACCGGGCGTCTCCCGGGGGCCCGGACCGCGAACCCCCGCAAGGGCCGCATACTGGGCTTGATCGATGCCATCCAGGATGCTGTGGGACCCCCCAAACAGGCGGCGGCCGACAGGAGGACGGTGGAGAAGACCTGGAAACTGATGGACAAAGTGGTAAGAGGCTACTGCCGGGGTGGTCATGTGCCAGGGTGGGAGCCAGGTCCCCACTGAAACAAGCCTTCAGCTTGCTTCTCCTCCTACCTCTTCCTAGTAAACTTTTTATTAACCAGAGACTTGCTAGAGCTCAGCATGTGATCCTGGGTCAGTCTTGTGTTCATAAATATTTGGAGTGTACAGCTTTTGGAGCAATGTTTTGTGTATAAACAGTGTAGGAGGAGAAGGAAGCTGAAGGTTGCAACACTAATTCATGGAGATAATTAGGAGCTGGAATAGAAGGGGGTCCGCATGCCATATGGCCCCTCTTGCTGAGAGTTTGCAAAACATTCAAAGAGGGGGTGGGTGAGTGAGCTGTTAGCACTACAGAAGGTTAAGCCACTATTGACACTAATAGGCGCACATTTCAACATGACGTTTAAAGGGACACAGCCGCTTTTTTTGTTTTTGGGTTTGCTGAACTGCCTGGGAACAAACTGCTTCTCTGTTTTTCTTCTGTTGGGCCTCCAAGCATGGTTGTGTCATAAAGACTGTTTTGCATGTTTGGTAAAAGCTTTCATAACTGTCAGATTTATGATAAGGCTGAATAAGAGCCAGGTAGCCAATGTTCCTTAACATGACAACCAGCGCCAGGTTTTCTCTAGATGTCTATGAAGCTGACTCCTAAAGAAATCTTGGATCAGACAGACCGGCTCCTGAATTCTAAATTAAATTGCCCACAATAAGCAAAGTCTTTGGCGTTTGATGCCACATTTTTGAAAAGTTAAGTGTTTAAACTTGCAAAGTCTGAAGTGGCCCAATGACAGTTGCAAACGCTAGTTAGAATAATAGGAAGTGGTACTGCTGTACCTAGGTAGGTGTTGGCTTGGATAAAGGAACTAAGATAAATGACACCCAGTACTCCCACTATCTACTTACTACCAATGAGTTTTTCCATGAAATGTTATCAGTTTATCGTACAGTTCAGGGTGCTGTACTATTGAAGCCAAAAGTTCAAATAAAACTGGGGGAATGTGACTCGGTGACCTACTTTTATGCTAAAGATTGCAGACTATTAGATGTACTTGGACTTTTCTAAAAGCATCAAGGACAAAACACAGTTTCATTGTTTTGGATTCCTTTGTTTTGTGTGTATGTGGTGAATTTTAAATGTTTATATATGTGTGCTCGTGGCTGGAAAATAATTTTTGAAAGTTTAGTGGAATCTTCAGCTTGCAACAACTAATGAAGCACATGTAAACATTGCCAATTTGTGGAATTTTAGGTCTTTCTGCTTATTTTCTTTAGTAACTGAAAATATAGTTAGCTGGTGTTTTTAAAGTGGCACGAAACTCAGGAGTTAAAGCTTAAAAATGCCATCAAGCACCTGAACTATTAACAAAAATGTATCTTCTTTGTATGTCACTCGGCTGTAGATCTTCAAATTAGCTCTGAATTGGTGCTGACACTGTCCTTCCTTCTGGAGGGTGGCTACTTTTGTTTCCCAACGTCCCTCTGTGTATGTTGTAAAGTAGCCACCGCTCCAAACTCACTCCCTTGATGGACTACAGTCTCATGTTTAGTTTAATCATTTTATATTGAGATTATAGTCCATCACGGAACTGAGCTTGGAGCGGTGGCTACTTTACAACACACACAGGGACCATGGGGAACAAAAGTAGCCACCCTCCAGAATGAAGGGCAGTGTCAGCGTGAATTCGGAGATGACTTGAGGATCTACAGCTGCGTGATACGCAAATAAGCTTTATTTTTAATAATAGTTAAGGTACTTGAATGCATTTTTAAGATTTAACTCTGAGTTTAGTGTCACTTTAAGGTAGCTTAAGCTGCCCATACACTGAGCAAATTTTGGCTGCTTCTTAAAGAACTGGCCACAATTCGATCTGTGGGTGATCCTTTTGGCAGCCTTCCTCCTGACATTCTTTAAAAGTGACCTTTTGCCAATCAGCTGCTGTCACTGTTAGGTGATCTGATCGTGGTACAACCATCATTGTCCATACACAATCGCTTGGTGGGAGATTTGCCTGTCCCTGCTGTTTAGCATGGATAGAGGAATCTGTTAGACTTTTTTTCATTCATCATACAGGAAGAACAAAAAAGAATCAAGCAGTGTATTGCCAACTTATAACAAGGCATAGAAAAAGAGATATTAGTCTAGAAGATATCTGCGGTTTTGTTTTGTAGGAACCTATGATGGCTAATCATGCAACTCATTGGTCGAACTGAAGCAACACCTGTACTGATGATACTTTACTTGTTGAGAAGAGGGAAGGTTCTTTCAGGTCACTCGGAGACTGTAAAGTAAAATAAAATGTTTGTGAGGGATGGCGAGCACTTTTTGTGTAGGGAGCAGTGGCAGATTATGATAAGGCTGCTGCTCGAGGCCCCAGATTCAGCTTCCATGGGGATGCTAAAAAGTTTTGTTCTTGTAATTCTCTTCAAAATGAGTCATTTTCAGCTCCTCCAAGTCTTTGAATGGTCCAAAATGGGAGTCTTTGTATTGTTTGTGAAACGATATTACACAATACATTTGCATACTCCCAGTACCTGGAAGCATTATTTTGATATTATCTGACACTATCATATGAGTAATGCGCAATTAGTACATAACATCCAATTAAAACTTCAACCACTGCATTCCAAATCCTGCAGAAATGTTTAAAGCCTATCTCCAGGAAAGAAAAAAAACCTCCCTATTTTATTGGGACTACCTCCACACTGCAAAGATTGACTGCCTGTTAATGTCTTGGGGACCTGTTTATAGGACTTTTCCTTACCTGCTACCCCTGCAGTGTTCATCTCATCTCCCCTACGCTTTGGCTTGTGAACTGTTTGCAGGCCTGTGTCCACCAGGGCGGAGGAGGGAAAAGCCTGTGGGTGCCCGTCTTGGAGTCTGCAGGGATCAGGTAAGTAAAAGACCTTCACACAGATCCTCTATACATCAACGAACACTTAAAGGAGAACTATGAGGCGAGTGAAGATCACTCATCCTCATAGTTCGAGCCGATGTGTGACAATGAAACTGTCACACGTCGGCTCAATAGGTTGGGAAGTGAGTGAATGCATCCCGTCGCTCAATCACTTCTCGATCATCTCCCTGCAGAGAGTAGCGACTGTCAGTCACGGCTCCCTGCAGGGATTCCCCCTCCCCTCTCTGATCCTCCAGCGCTGACAGGAGGAACAGACGGGGAGGGGGCGGGCACAGCTAGCTCTTGGCTGCGGCAGTCTCAGTATATAGTGAGCTGTAGCTCGCGGTATACTGAGCTTTTGGTCACGGGAGGACGCCAGTATGTGTCCTCCCGTGACCCTTAAGAGAACTATGAGGAAAGACACTTACCCCATAGTTCTCTTTTAACCCTTGCAGTGCAGGGGTAGCCCCACTGCAAGGGTGTGTGTGTTTTTTGTTAGTTTTTTTTTTTTTCATATTGGAAATGGTCTTTAAGAAGCCCATGTTAGTAGCAAAACACAATGGTCAGTGTGCAATGACTATGTAGCCTGATTGTCCCCTCCTAGTGGTACCCTGTAAATGGTCTGAGCATGGCCTAGAATTGGGCATTTTATGGCCAACCTTGGGCTGCCCAAATAAGAATTCTATTAACACTGAAAACTGTATGTGTTAATTATTAATGAATTGTGTCTATTAACACTGAAAACAAATGTCTCCTGGTACAGGGGATGCCCATGTGTATGCATGCATATGGAAAGATGGACTGCATGACTGGAAAAAGTTGAAAACTTCTAGTTTTGCAGATCTGTTTATCTGGTGTCAGTCTATTTTACTAAAAAAAAATCAATTAGTTTCATTTAGATGAAGAAATAATAGATGGCAGCACAGTGGCCTAGTGGTTAGCACTACTGCCTTGCAGTAGGTCGAATCCCAGCCAGGTCACTTTCTGCAAGGCGTTTGCATGTTCTCCCTGTGCTAGTTGGGTTTCCTCTGGGTACTCCAGTTTCCTCCAACGACATGCTGGTAGGTTAATTGGCTCCTTTCTAAGGTTGCCCTCTGTGTATGCATGTGATATAGAGACCTTAGATTGTAAGCTCCTTGAGGGTAGGGACTGATGTGAATGTGCAGTATGTAAAGTGCTGCGGAAATTGTTGGCGTCGTATAAATACCTGTAATAATAAAGAATTGCATGTTTACAGCTGCCTTCTTGTCAGTGGGTAGTCCTATACATTTCCTCCACTGGAGCACCTACTGTACATTAAGTTAAAGTCTGCTGGAATATGGGTTTTCAGAATAATTGCTATAAAAGTGGATGTGTTGGAAAGTGAATTTGAAATTAAATGGTCATACATGAGCCAGATGGTGGGAATGTTTTCAGAAACAATTAGTTCCTGTGGTCATCCTGCTTTTGGGACTTTTACAGTGCATGTCAGGCTGTGAATGGTGTTCCTGATCTTCTCCTTTGTACAAATACCTGGGAAAACGGAAGAATTGGATACATTTTCTTTCCAGACTGCCTTGTCCTTTCTTCATGCTGTTTCTGAGCCGGAAGAACCCATTCCCCACACAGTTAAACTCATTTTAAGGGATACTTTGCTGCTAAGCTGATATAACTAAGCCAATCATGCATATTACTGTCCAAGAGCACTGTATCTCCACGAAATCATGATCGAGATGAGCTGTAACTACTTTTTTTTCTTGTACTTTGTATGTTACATAGTATTTGGGGTTGAATAAAGACATACGTCCATCAAGTCCAACCCATATAGGTTGGACTTGAATGTTGATTTTATAAACATTGAATACAAATATATTAAAATATGGAATTTGGGGTTTTATCAGGTTCAGTATTACTGTGCTGCACTGGGGATGGAGTGTCTGGCTTCAGTGCCACCTGAGCAGCTGCCTCAACTGTCCTCATGAAAAGTGCAGTCCTGGTCTCTTTTATGTTTTATAACATGGAGGAAGTGTTCTGTAATCCACTGGTCAGAGTTAATATCTCAGTTTTGAGATTTCCATGCACCAGGGACAGAATACAAAGGAGGTTACAAAT